AATAAATCTTGGGAACAAAAAGAGAGGAACCATGAATCAGAAGCAAGGTCAAGCTGAGAACCTGGATCCAGTGACTCCTCAGCTAGTACTCTTTCCATTAGGTCAGATTCCCACCTTCGATTTGGCTATTAAGATAAATAATGTTTTACTTATTCCTGACACTTGTCCAAAATAAAGATTTTGGGATCTGCCCTTTGATGTAGAAATTTAACCAGTGTAGGCATACTCTATAAAGAAATGTGGTCAATCCAAGCATAGTTATGCATGAAGATTGCTCTATGCAACCACAACCCAAGAAAACAAAACAAAGCGTAGCAAAGCAAGCTTAGGTTATGACATTGGTCCAGGTTGACAGATGCTGGCTCTTTACCAAACTATTTCAATATTTCATCCCAATAGGTGGGAACTATTTACAGGTGAGCCCTGTGCACACACTTCTTATAATAGAGATGCAACTACACACCTTTTGTTAACCATTAATGACTGTTCCACAGCAGTATTTCCGAGCATTCTGATTAAAAATCAAGGGTAAAGATGGGGTGTGGCTTACTTTTTGGATGTGTTCTTTATTTACTTAGAATTTCTCAGCCAGAGAACTGAGGGTTTGAATCAATATTGTGACATAAACAAAACAATCTCCTTCGCATACTCTTGACGGAAAGATCAGCCTGAACGTATCCAACAAGGAGAAGTTCATAGGAATCTATTGAGTTGGTTGTTGCTGTAGCTTTACTTCCGTGACAGATACATGTTTTGAGTCATTCTTTTTAAGATTGATTTATTTTATTTGAAAGGTAGAGTTGCAGAGAGAGCGGGACAGACAGATTTCCATCCACTGGTTCACTCCCCAAATGACCTCAATGGCCAGGGTTTGGCAAGGCAAAAGCCAGGACCCAGCAGCTTTTACTGGGTCTCATGTGAGTGCAGGGGCCCAAGCACTTGGGCCATCTTGCACTGCTACCCCAGGTGCATTAGCAGGGAGCTGAATTGGAAGTGGAGCAGCCAGGCATCAAATGCTGGGATGCCAGTGTTGCAGGCGGCGGCTTCACCCGTTAAGCCACAGTGCTGGCCCCCTGGAGTAATTCTTGTGGCTTGAGCTTGTCATGGTCCTGAGAACATGCTGGGACATGCATTTGGACCTCTCGTGGCCGAAGGGTTTATTTGATTCCCTTGTCTGTCCCTTCTCTAGGGCTCGTTATTTTCTTTTTCTGGCTGTAATTATCTAGGACTATTCTCTGAAGAACATTGTCTGTCACTGTCCCTTAAACTGGGTCATAGGACTGTCTTTGAAACATATGTACATACACGGTTTTAGTTTGAATTGGAATAACTTTTTGAAACGACACAACTTTGAGCATAGGAGATGCTAGGTTGATTGTGTTTTAGTTAAGTAGGATTGTTAAGGAGCTGTATTATAAATATTGAAGGTGTGAACCCTGAATCCTTCCATGTGCACCTCACTCTATGCAGTCTTGCCAACAAAGGATGTCCTTGTAACCATTGCCTGATAAGTTACCCCTGGTGAACACTGACAGCAGAAAAAAATGGACTATAATTGATGAACCAAGTTAAGGTAGATTCTAATCACTAACTCCTCTTTCAGTACTATTTGCTCTCCAACAAAATGAATACTGTCTATCTGGTTTGTTAAACAACATTGAGTATATTGGGTTTCAGTGAGTAATATAAAACAATATATGTTGCTGTGAATATCTGAGGTTGTCTTTGTGTTACAATGTGTTCAAATAAAATTTTAATATGATGAATTTAATCTATTTTTTAACAGAGTTTCTTAGTTCCAGCAGTGCTTCCTTCTAATCTGTGTACCAGTAGGATACAGATTTTCTTGTGTAGTGTTCAGGATTTTTTTGGTTTCAAATAATGGCTAGAACTTAATTCAGACTGGCTTAAGGAGGACAAAATGGAATTTATTGGCTCATTTAATTGGGATGTTCAGATAGGCTCTTCCCATGAGTTGGCAATGATGGCCACCAATAGCACCAAACTATTTAAGTAGTATCAGAGGAATGAGATTATTTTTACAGCAAAAATTCTTGGACTGGCTTTCACTGGTCTGGCTAGTGAGCCATTGATTTCTTGTGGCAAGGAATGGACTGTTGTGATTGGTCAGCCCTGCTCGTGTGCTCGTCACTGGTGCTAGACATTGAGCCAAGGAAGGGGTGGTTCCAAAAGGAAAATAAAAGCACTGCTCT